TTATGGTTGAAACTCAATTTACTCATTTATTTCTCAACCAGTCATTCGATTGAAAATAAACATTCATCAGCTATCATCATGCAGCATATAAAAAAGAGCCGGACGAATTATCATGAAAACATGTTACTCGACTTCTGTTTTGAAGGATCACCTTTCTATCAATATCTTCATCGAGCATTTCCTTCCCTCTACATTATCGTATAGCTTGTTGGGTGTCATCGCCTTGACCCCATCAGCAGTCGTTTACCAGCCACGAATGAACTTTGTCCTCTTGTCACTGCACGCGCATGTGTGTGGGAACAATTCCGCTATGTCACCTTCGTTTTACTGACGGTTTGTCTATGGGATAGGAGAAGCATTAAACGTCTATACATCAGAAAAATAGATAATTCATATGTTTTAAACGAAAAGACTTTTTTTCACCGGTACCATAAGTTTTTTAAAAGAATTTAAAATTTTATTGGACACCAGCGTTTGTGTCCAAGTTTCTGATACCTTAAGTTATGTGACAATTGTACTTGCTAAAATAATCAAAACTACTAGCACCAGGTAGGAGAGTAACGAGATGGAACGAAAAATACTTGCCAGAACTGATAGAAAAAGTTATTGTAATACTTGCACAGAGTTATCAAGGTACGGGTGAAAAGTAATAATATTACTTCGTGGCGGAAAATTATCGTTTTCGTACACGGATCAAAAAATTCCTGAAAAATTACGTAATAGTTCCGTAAACGGGGATTAAGACGATATTTCGTAAAAAATTACGGGACTAACTTAAATTTCTATGTTACTGTCACATAATGTTTCTCTATGATCAAGTAAAAAAGACGTCAAACTGAAATGAACATTCATGTCGATTGCTTAATTTTTTACGAAATGACCCCCCGCCCCAGGTTTACAGAACTGTCATGTAGTTTTTCGTAATTTTTATTCTCCGTGTAAGGAGACCTCATCACTTGTAACCACCATTTTTCAAGCTTTCTCTTAAATAATATTCGGCGTGGCAGTAGTACGGAAAAATGTATAGATGCAAAGTATATATTAGTGGTTGTATATCAAATTTATATTTGGCGTATATCTCTAATTTATTTCGGACATAGATATGCAATTTTCCTCTAACATCGGATGATTTAGACAACTATCCCTAAATTTTTCAAACATTTTTCTGCAGTTCAGTTAGGAAATATGATTTTTTGTTCTAATCAACCGAGTTTTACTCTTTCATTTTTGAATGGTAAACTGTTAGAAAATTTCGTTATTTACTACCTGCAAGAATTATTTTAATACCTTTTTGTTGTAATGTCTACGCCTTCATGATATCCAATCTAAAAATGAATAAACGAATGAATAAATGATTTTCTTGATTAGTATTTAAAATTAATTGCAGCCTAAACCTATTTTATTGTTCTTGTCAAAATTTGTAAATTTTATCAAAACACTCGAATTCTAAATCGATCTAAAAAATATGTAATATTATATGTCGGTGTACAGTCAAATTCACTTCATGCTGTCCATAACCAAAGTTAATCAATGCTATTATATGGGATATTTCAATAGGAGAACAAATGAACATGAATTTTCAAAGAGATGAGAGTGAACGGTTAAATACCGCAGATATACTCCTGCTTCCTGCTTGCTCCTTTTTTTGACATATTAAATTTTTTATTTATTTAACACGAGTACCATTCCTGTTATGTTTTAAGAGTTAAGGAGGTGATTTGGAAAATTTTCAGCAACAGTGTGACAAGGGTCAAGAGCTAGTGAACCACTTAATGATAATTTTTACTCTCCAACATCATTCAGCTTGTTTTACTGAACGTGTTGATATGCACATACAGTAATAATTTCGTCGTCAATTCCAGAATTTCCAGGAGATATAGTCAGGGCGGGTTGAATTATAAGTAGATCAGAGTTCTAAATAGCCGCTGGAGATTCCAGTTTGGGATATGAGAACATACGTGAAATTTGTACGTTAAACATTCCTTAGCATTATTTTTCGGACAATGGTAACATGGTGGTTATTTTTATTTTTATTTTTCGTGGAGCTCAACTCTTGTCCGACCTTCTCACTCTCGTCTGCCGGCAAATAAACCAGTTTGACGACGCGAAGCCAAACGCGCATGCCTCAGGTAGGCCTGTAATTCCTGCGGAAGACGGTACTCAAAGCCTCTTGAAAACAACACTAAATTATTTTGCTAAAAATTACTTGAAAACATTAGGTAACTACTACTCGAGAATTGAAATTTCCCAGTGCTTTTATTCCCCGCCGTATAACTAGGTTTCGGGACTTATATCATTGACAAGCGTTGTACTCATCTTACAATGTGATTACCATATGATCTGCATATTCCACGAACACTTGCAGCCACACATGCGACTAATCGCAGTTCGACAACCGAGAATTTATCACTCTCAGCCTCATATAGGTGAAAGTCTTCCATTTCTCTCCCTCTCTCACTCTCTGAACACCGCCAAGTTTGTTCTGATTTCAATGAAACTCATGTTTCCATGTATACTTACCGGAGATACATAATCATTTTTATGAGTCACTAAATGCGGAAGTTATTAAAAATGTGAATAATTAATGATTAATACAAATTGGTCATGTTATGAACTCCAATAATACCTATCATTACACTTAAACATCACAATTCATCATTTTTTATCAAGCACATTCGGTTAAGTAATTGATGGCAGGATGGAACTATTCACTGATTGTTCAAAATGTTTTGGAAAGGATGAAATAAAAACAAAGAGCATCGTTTTGTTTTGTTCATAAGGACGTCTAGAAATATTACCGTGAATGTCAATGATTTAGATGATAAGTTCATTGAATTTTTCCGAGTCCATAATACGATCAGTTCAATCATGTCACTGGTACAATGACATATGTTATTGTATGTAAGCTTACTTCTATTGCACAGACGAAGCTGCCACCTAAGGTTTCACTACTTTGTCGCTGGGAATTTTGTGTGCAGAAGTCATCACTTTGTACGATTTTTGCTTTTGAACGGAAACTTTGTAATCGATCATTTTTTCGATTTTATAGTTTTTTCAGAAAAGGATGTAGAATATTGTGAAATGAGAGACTGAGAAGTTTCGAGGACGTGTTGTTGATGTGTGATTGTATATGTGTGCGTATTTTTCGATTAAAAACAAAGTAGAAAATCCGACAAAATGTCAACATTTCATCGAGGCTCGCTCTATAGCAGAACGTATATTAGAATTTTCAGTACAATTTAGTAAATTAATAAATAGCTCACAAATATAAAGAATTTAATGAATAAATAAATCTACTTGTTGGTTATAATTCAATACAGATGAATAGCTCTTCAATTCTTGTTCAGGAGAAACCTTGCTTAAATGGAACATGCAACAGATATTTTTCTCTGGATGATTTATATAATTCTGCAACTATATGATTATGGAAATACTCATCTTGGTCTTTTAGTGTACATTTCGGTTAAGGAATGGCTAATTCATTTTTATCTGTGTTCTAAATGATTTGTTTATACTATTTAGCCGCAGAAAACGAGTTGGGTATATAATACAGTCAAGGATGGTTGGGTTTACGTGAGTTACGCCGCTGACCGATCAGATGGTTCAGATGGATGTCGCAACTTCTACACATAGTCAGCACCGCTATATTTCAACCAAGTCTCCAACGATCTATCATCGTACTTCTTACAACTAACTCAAGGTCAAATCATTGAATAAATATTACAATGGCCATTGCTCTTTAAGGAAATCTAAGCAGAAAGGATTCATTTCATCCCTTACTCAAATAAATGCGGTTGCTGACTTGCTTCTATCATTCGGAATGGCATAGCTGTTTCCCTATCAATAAATTTTCGCGAGAATTTTAATGATCACACTAGCATGATATTTCGGATGATACGACTTATCTCAAGCATTTTCTAATGATAGGGTAGTTTCACTTATGGAATAATTAAGATCTTCGATATTATTGGGACATTCATTGGACACGTGTTGATATTTTTTCTTACCTCTGCTGAGGCAAAAAATATGTGACGCACTTTTCTTTTCTTACTTTGCGTCATTCTGAAGAACCAGATTCAACGCCGAAAGTCCTGAGGCAAGTGTTGGGCTTGACATTCTTTCAGATATTTTATCGATGAGCGTCATAAATGTTTTGATGATGTCGTGAAAGGATTTTTCATTAATTCGAGCCACACATTTTTGGTTGACTGTACAGCTGATAATTTCGCTGGAATTGAAGTGTCCGATTGAGTTCGGTGTATGAAGATAAGAACTTCAGGCTTTGCGCCTGAGAAGAGCTTTCTAATTATGAGGAATTAGTATGCAACAAAAACGACATTCTTAATGTCTAATTGTTTTGTGTTGAAAAGCAAGATATATTGCGGACTTTGAAAGTCGATTCATTGTAACTTGATTTACAACAAATAGAAACTAAATTGTTTCAAATCGGCAGTTAGATTGAACAGTGACACACGTAGAACTATTAGTTAGAGTACTTTGCCTCACGATTCAAAATGAATATGTGCAAAGGGGTTGGTGGAGAGGGAAACAGGTACTCTTGGGACCCGTTGGAGTTGCGTGAAACGTTGTGTTTGTTTTGTTAATGCGTACCGGCCTTCGGGGCTTTTGCACGACGTTTGGATATATACCAACATTTCCCTTCTTTTCCATGACGTCACTCTTGAATGCACAACGCAAAAGAAGGATTACAATCGAGTGGTATGGTGCGACATGAAGAAAATGCCAAGTGTCGATCTACACGTCATATTGACGAGTCATACAGTAGATTGGCGAAGCCTAAGAAACGATTACTTCTTAACAGTGGAAAGAGGTTTGTCGGGGAAGTATTTTTAATACATCTTACAAGTACCAGTCCTACTGAACTACTGAAAAGGAATTCTCTAATTGGGGGAAGTGAATATTTGTATTAGATAGAATGATTTTTAAAATATATTGTTATAGGAAGAAATGGTTAGTTGAAAACAACTGGTGAGAAAAAATCAATAAATCAATAAATAAATATTTATATTCGAACGTGATTCGTTACAAGACGCAACTAGCTATGGCCCGAGGATTTTCAGACAATGAGTTACATTGCGGTTGTTTATAATATAAAAATGGTGATCTTAGAGGATGGTTTGAAAATTCTTAGAATACTGAAAAGTGAAGTCGACAAGTCTTAATTCACGAAAATAGTATGTCAAATTTGGAAAATGGGCTTGCAACGATCAGTTTTCTACAATCTAAAAACTTTTTTCTAAGTTTAGAAAATAACATTCATTATTAAAGACAATCCCCACATTCTTTCATTTTTATGATCCTACCAAGGATAAAGCCTAGAACAGGATTTTCTAAAATTTAGAAACTAGTTTTTAAATCTACTTTTTTTCTCTGTGTATTTATGTTCAGTTTATTGTAGAAAAGACCTAACTGTAGCCGCAGCATAAGTACATTTTTTCTAATGATTAGTTCTGAAGTATTTCTCACCAGTATACAGCTACTTGATTTACAATACTTGCATAAAGTTGTCTTGTGATTTTAAAGAAGCTCGGTAATGTGGCTTTTTCTGAGGAACATTCTATTAGTATTGAGTCCAAGACCTATCAGAAAAAATACGCATGCAAATAATTATATATGACATATGGCATTTTTTGCCAACATATATGTACATTTACATATATGTATATTGAGAATGATCAGAAGGAATTAATTTTTCCGGTGGAGTTTTGGAAAAAAAAGGAATTTTTAGGGAGCCTTAAGATGGAGCTTTTCACCTGTCAAGAGTGACACCTCAAAATAGAAAAAAAAATTCTCGATACTTGATTTCGGTTTCCAAACAGAAAATTACCGAATTAAGTCTAAAATGTCTATAGTCATCATTGGTTGAGAGACAAGCGGTTGTTATCTCAATCAGAAGAGAGACCACTCCTGTCTTTCTCCTGCCCATAAATTTCCACCATGATATAATCCAACAGAGAATCCCTTGCGTCACACCTAAAAACCAGCAAAAGATGTCCAAATGTCTAAAAAAACACGTCTTAAAAATTCGTAGAAAAATAACTCCTCGAATATGTTAAACTCAAGGTCAGACTGCGCCTGAATCATTAATAATCAAATGCCATTCCAATTCATTAGAATTTATTTTATTAAGGAAGCGCAAATAACTATAACGAGGCTTGATGATTTTCTGTTGCAGGAACCGAACGAAAAGTATTCCGAATACTTTAATAAGTTGTAAAAAGAAGAAAAAAAAATGTTATCAATGTGTCGTTTTATTCACCTGGAACAGACACGAGTAATACACAAATATCGCTGCTATCGTCTTCAGGAAATTTCCATACGTGTGTTGAAAGACGACGTCGTGGTTATAAGGACGTTATCGATAGATGAAATCTCGAGGATAGAAGAAATAAAAAATGTTAAAGAGACTGCAAAAGACACTCAGCGTCGATCGGAAGTATCTTGCTAAGTTGAAACGTCGAAGTTACGACGGAGGAAAAACATTTTTCTATCCTTCATTTGAAAAAAAATATAAGAACTTATATAGCCGTGTTGTTTGCACACGCATGACTAAGAGAGAAAAAAATACGTGTATAGGACGGTATAATCTACCTACCTATCGTGTGTATAAATGGACCGGACCGCGATATCCCGCTTGCCTTCGCTATGCGCGGAATTACGCAATGAGACGTCGAAGCTCGTTCGGCTATCTTCGATGTTACCGTAGTCTCGTGTGTTTTCCACAGTGGTGAAATCACATTTGTCGCAGATTGCGACGCCTTCTTCTCACGTTTCTCGTTTTGACGACTACATGAAGAAAATTAAATAGTCAAAACTCCCATGTCGCCATCTGCACATAGTATATCTTACCAAACTTGAGTAATTATTACTAACGACATAACATCGATTACTAGGTCATACAATAACTATTAGCACATTGACGTTATTTGAAAATGTTCAAATCAGCGTGCGAATGAATCAACAATTAATTATAATAAACATGTATGTTGCGATATAGTAACCATTATCATTTTTTTTTGTTAATTTTTTATAGAAAGGCATATTATTAAATAAGTACAAGTAATGATTATTCAAATAGTCACTACTTTCAAGTTATTGATGGCACGTGAATTATGTAAAAATATTGATATAATCTGCCTTTGTAGGTGATAGAAAAACCAGATCAGATTCGTTCAGTAGACAGATGAATTTTGGGATTGATCGGACCAATGGTTAAAATGTATTCTTTTTTTTACAAAATTACGACAATGTAAATAAAAAATTAACATTGTTCACCAAAATTTTTGTGAAAAATCATTAAAAAAATTACAGATAATTATGGGAAATGTTATTCCTTCAATTAATGCCTCAGAAATACATCCAGATTTTAGATCGACCGGTTGATCCGTTTTTGAGAAATCGCCATGTTGCCATATCATTTGGTTATCTGAGACTAGCAACTCCTTCGAAATAATTTTCTGGTGAGTACACTATGTGGGCAATATCCATTTTTTTGGATTCACCCCTATCGGGATTATTAAAATATACTCTTACGAGATTCTGTCTTTTGTGCAGAAATTCCAGATGTGCCCGTTGTACGCACATTATGTCCTCATGTTTTATCCTATATGGAGTGAAACATACTCGAAAAATTATGGAACTTTCACGTAATCGTGGGGTGATCTTGCTTTTCAGGAAAAAGTACTAAGAATTCCGTAACTATTATCCTAGCGAACAGGTTTTTTTAGAAAATTTTTTCCCTAAAAACCAAGGTCGCCCAATGTCTGAAAAGTATCGTAATTTTTTGAATATTTTTCACTCTGTGCGTGTATTCTCAATTTGTTTTCACTGATATCATTTCTTTTTTCATGCTCATTGGATTTCATATCCGGGATACTCGACCTCTTCTTTCTAGGTTCAAAGCTAGCTGTCCTTTTTCCAATAGGCTATTCTCAAAACTCTATTGACTTGCTAATATTTCTCAATATTATTACAATATCCAAATGACCATTGTAAGTCGATACATACTCAATGAGTAATTAGTCTGGTAACATAAATTTAGGCCAATGTTACTCATAATTGTCGTGCTGTATAAAAAGAGATATTTAGGGTTCATGAAGATAATCTGCTGAATTAATCGATTATTAATTCAGCGTAAGCGATTGTTCATTAGCAGTTACTGCAACAATTATCGAATGAAATTAACTTAAGCGTTAATAAGTCTGTCAGAAAATCACCTTGCAATTTTTATGGGAAACTTCAGATTGTGTTATAATGACTCATTGACATCACATTTCAATAGGCTCTTATGGAGGAATCATTTAATTTGTCTAATGTCTCAATGTCTCATATTATAAATATGAGAGTATCAGGCGTCAAGTTAATTGTTAAATAAATCAAAATTTAAATGACCACAAAAAGTTACTGCATTCCGAAAAACGTTAGTAATGAATTCCACTTGTTAATTAGTTTACAAGTTTATACGAAAGGAGTATTTCATTCATTCCTTTACAGCAATAATGAACAGGTGAATAATATTTTTTCATAAATTTTATAATTGTAATGAATGTGCCGATAACTGGCCGTGATCATTGCAATTGCCTTGATGATGCAGCTTGACACGTGCTTCTCAGAATATTTTATCGTAAGGTTTAAAGAAATTGCGTTTGAAATTTTGAGATAATTTCAATCATTGCTCGTTTTTATCAGTTTCTATAATGTACGTAGGTATTTGGGGATTTGATGGTAGGGTGAATTTACAAAGGGAAAAGAGCGGATATAATTTTTGCATTATTGCATTCGATTGACAAAAAATCCAAAATACAGTGGGTTGGCTGGTTGGCTGCATTTGCCAATTTTAGGTCAATTCAATTTGCATACTGATATTCACGTTTCTGACGGATTTTCTTTAATCAACGAAATTATTTTCACTATTAAATTTTTTTACATCTCAAGAGATAATTAAAACGGAATGTTTCAAGTATTTTTTCCAAACTCCTGAGGAAAAGTACTACGGGGAGTCAAATATCAATCCCAAACAATTTTTTTTTCTTATATTCTCACCCTATGAATGCAGCTGTGGATCCTACATCCGTATTCACTCTGCTAGAGAACATAGGAGTGACATGGGAAGCCACAGGAAAAACGATGTCAGTACAGGCGGTTCCTCTACTCGCAACCTTCCGCTCATCGGTGCCAGTTGAAAAATTTGATTCAACGAAGAATCTAACCTACAACTTCCAAATCAGAGGCGCACCTAGTCGCTGAGCTACTGATGTCGGTATCTCAAACAATTAAAATGCTAAAGTGATGGAGACAATATACACTATAAACTGCTCAATGTCCGACAACAAATGCGGGGAATGTTTTTCTGAGTCAACAAAATTGTGTATAATTGCCTATTATAACGGTTGGGAACCCAAGTCGCTGATTAAATATTATATTGATTTCGATCGTTTTGCGGAAAATAGCACGTGCTACCAATTACGATGCTTCCATTAAGATGTCGCTTAGTAAGTTACTGTTCAGAGAGTGCATTGGAACGCTACCAACACGAACTTGAACCAAGGACGCCGATATCACGAATTGCGGCTAACGAGATGTTATATTATACGTTATGACGTACTATTGGTTATGTCTAATGCGCGTGTGCGCACAATCTAACTGAAGTGTATGTATTTCGCAACCACTCGCGCTTAACCTCTACGGAGGAATGCGTTTAACGGCTTGACGCCTACAGGACGCCCCTACACAACTCCCAGCCTTCTCTCTCTCTCTCTTTTTTTCCCACCTCTCTCCCTATAGAAACCTTGAGAAAGAAGAAAAACATTGCAACACCATTCTTCGAAGCTGTGCACGATGCCAAGTTTAAAAAATCAACGGCGCTAGTAATTTTAGGGGAAGCTACAATACCAATTTTCATTAAAAAAAATGTATGCCCTTTATTTTCGCTCTTCTGCATTTTCCATGTTTTAATTCAAACAAAAGAAGCTCTTTCTTATTCTTGAAATCGAAAGTTGCTGACGCAGAGTTTCAATTGTTACAAATCTAATTTCTGGAATTTTATTAAAAATTACTTATTTGAACTCCACAGACTAGAATTAGTAATCTCAACTTCAAGAATGGGAAATTTTAGATTCCTTAAATACAATGTTTTCATTCGCATGTAAAACAGTGTTGTTTTGAGCTTTTGCTAAATTCATTGTCATATAATCTTTTTTCCATCCGATTCGCAAACTATCTATAAATCGCAAACTAACGAAGTTTTGCTAATAACTGTCATGGCATCCAGATTCATTAATCATTCGAAGTCCCATCGTGGTACGTGCTCGGTTTCTCTACAATAAATTGTTCGATCATTACTAATTAGTACACATAAATTCCAACTGCAAGCGGGTTCGGTTTCGTTCAAGAAAATAGAGACACATAAATAATGTTCGCCCGAACCTAAATATCCCAAAATTTCGTGACAGTACGTAATTCTTCAATGGCTAATATGGTCGCCATATGTTTTAGGCGGGAAATTTGAATAGGGCGCAACTGATAGCCTATTCTCAATTCAAGGTCGAAATGACTTCAGTCAATAACATTTGCCACGGCCAATGCATGCTTACACTAGCATATATTTTATGTATTCTTTTATTATTCTTGAAGAACAAACAGTACGGAGTGCTAAATTGATAAGTTAAGTGCCAGCGTTTGACATAACCCATGTTGGATGGCCGCATTGGCCTGAAGATCGGGCCAAGTATAACAATTAATATATAACAATTAATCATCAGTAGATTACTGACAATTTGCATAATTTATGTAATTAAAAAATAATGATAGTCATAATAGCAATTATTATTTTCATAGCAAACGCCGTCTTTTCCGAATTTTCTAATTATTATTCACCTGGTCTCAATGAATGATGTTTCCGAGGAAGTTTCAACGGATTTCATTATTTAATGTTATTTATAATATAATGGTACTCAATGATTATTTCAAGTGACAGACATTGGGGAAGCTAGGTAGGGCCCATGATCGACCAACGAATATTTATTCAACAGATTGGGGCTTTACCATTGGAGCATAACATCGCTCAACCGAAACACGTTGGATTGATGTAGGCTAATATATTGGCGGAATATCGAACAACCGAGTATCGGCAAGCGATGCTGGGCAGTGTACTGGTCAAGCCTCCGAAAAGCGAGTGTTGGTAAGCACATACTGGCCAATACATTAGCCAATTGCAGGCTCGGAAATTCCTACACAGGAATATTGTGTGCGATCATTGTAAAGTTGGCGATCTTAATCAAAATACTTCAATCAAGAGTCATAAAATCTTGCTTCATTTCTTTATCACTAATCACTCTTTTATGAGCACTCAAAATACATTTTGTCGTGATCATCTTAGGATTGTGTCAAGTGTCTGATAGCCGCCTCTATATCTACGGATATTAAAAAAAGAGAACTTTTGCTTATTATCATGCGTTCCATTCATAAATGACTTTTGAGGAACAAAAGATTGATTTAAGAATAGAGTTCGATGCAAACTTCAATGAAGAATGTTCGAGCTCTGACTACGCTTTTTTCACAGTGTATTGAAGATACACATTCCGTACGTCGATCGATAAAATACGAAGAGGTAAATCCTCTTTTTTTCCAAACGACCGAAATCTCAAGGTGAAAAACGTTGACGTCCGTTTCATGTTGAATTAAGAAAAAAAATACAACGGAGAGCGGGAGACCCTTATCTGTCGGTATCGAATGGTCACTCTTCGGGACCTAGTTAACTGTTGTCCAAACCACTAGATCAAAGACAGAGACACTGAATTTTCGGCGTTTTTAGCTTTCATGTGTCTTTCTGCGAGGCAACTGAATCGAAACAGTCCGTCGACATCGTGAAACTCCTCTTGCCTCTTTCACCTACCTCCCACTCTCCATATCCTCACCCAATTCAACTGTTTTAGTGCGTGGCTATAAGGAGAGGAAGTCTCGAGCTTTGAAAGCCGCCTTGAATTTTGCCAACAAATAGAGAATAACTTCTAGCGGGGGGGTATTGTGGTCACGTGGAAAAAAGAATGAAAGGAAAAAGCAGAGAGATTCGGAGAAAAAAAAACAGAAGGCGAAGCCGAAAAGACCACAGAGATCAAGGGAGAGCGGGAGAGATTGGTTGCGCACTCTCTTAGAATAAAATGGCGCCGTAGGAATTTGGCTGAGGACTGTAAATATTATAAAGCGACGGTACACAGAATGCGGGAGCTCTACCTTCGGTGGAAAATAGTGTGTCTTCGTTTCTCTGGCTGTTATTGGTGTTGTGGGTAGAGTGCAGACCGGAGGGAATGAGGCAGTCTGAGGGACAATGCCCAAACGACGATGCACAACTGGAAATACCTTTTAGTTTCCATGGCACCACACGTGAATTAAGTCTACCCTAAATTTAAAGGATACAAATATTTTCAATTCCATTAGTTATCCATCAAAAATTCATACGACAATTGCCTTAAAAATTACCAGACTGCCAAGTCTGTAAGTGAAAAGTCACTTTTACCGATTTACTTAATCTCAAATACAAATGAACAATTCTGTAAAATGTCCTAGCTCTCATCCTCTTAGTTTAGTATGGATACAATGAGCCCACACGAAGAACCAATCATATGCTGCCGGATCAATGAAAACACCCGAATAAGGCGGACGGTATTGGATGAAGTGCGCATCAGGCAATGAAAAAGTACTGAGCGATCAGGTCAAATTTTCACGGCTTGACCGCGTATTTCCGTTTCTTAAAATTACAGTCTGAATCATTAAATGAACTTCGATTGACCGATTTTTCCCACAGTAGAAAATGCTGCATTTAATGGTAAGTAGCCCGTAATTTTTCGTGGATATCCCACTCATTCCCGTATGTAATTCTACCTACATAAATCCATTAATAAGCGAAACCAACAATTTATATTAACATCAGAATAATAATTTGAACCTTAGATAGCAGTAAATGGAACAATAAATTTTCAACCAATAATAAATTTTACAGCAATAGAAATAATTCACAAGAGCTCTTAATCAATAAATCATCAACTGACAAAGTGAGGATTAATTGAAAATCAACGATAATATTCTCCTCAATTTCATTAATTTCCTTGAACTTTTATGTTGAAACTGCACTAATTGCAGTGCAGGCTTCAGGTAAATACCACAGCTGAATATCAAAGACTCATATTTTCACGTAAATTTTAATTCAATTTTCAATAAGTGCAAAATAACTAAGCATATGTTTAAATTGTGTAATTTTCTGCCCCTATTAACAACTTGTGAAAACAAAATTTGCATCCTTAGAGTAAGAACATCCGGCCATTTCAACGATTTATCCCTCCTGTTAGAAATAGAAAAGTAAACCAGATCACTTTAATGATTGTTTCAGAAAATTGTCAAAATTTAAGTTTTTTTTAATTAAAACATAGATGAAGAGAGAATGGTTTAAAAGCTATTAGGTCCATTCGTAATGGTTTACACCAACTTCAATGCACCTTTGATCGTGCTAGTCACCGTGGGAGTGACCGCAACACGTCTCTGACTACAGGTTTGAGTTCCTAGTCTGGTTAGTCAGTTTATAATACTAAGGATCGTTTCAGGTGAGAAGTCCCTTGAGTTAGGTGAACTGCCTGGGAAGACTACAGGTGGGGTTATGTTCGATTGCGAGGGTTAAATGTCCGAGGATTGAATGTAAGTGGTCAGCAAAACGAGGAGAAGTGCCAAATGCCTCCATAGTTCTCTGCGAATCTTTGATCGTTTGTATGGACACGACTGAAAAAACTTCAACGACTTCCAAACGTTTCGATAATCAATAATTATGTTGAATTAATATTAACTCTTAACGAATGATAGCTTACATAAAACATCTGGACTATACGAATCAATTAACCTCGATAGCATCAATTATTGTTAAAAAATCCATTTTGTTTAAAGCTTTTGGTTCCAAGTAACCAGAAAACAATCAGTCGTTAAAAATGTTTGACCGGTTTTTCGGTAGGAGATCGGCTCGGCAACAAATTGACGCCATTAAATGCGACATAATCCTGCCCTTGTTTATATATTTTTTTTTAATTTTCTTTATTTTAGCTGGCATCGTGATACTGCGTGTGTACAGGCCTTCTTTAGTCTCATATCGTGCCTGCGATACACCGTGTACGTGCAAACGATCGCTGTAAGAGTATTCCAACGCGCAGGCGTAACATACTGAGAATAGGATATTTCACCATACATATGTGCTGATATAGGCAAAACCGTTAGCATGTGCAGCTTACACGGAAAAATTTCGTGGTATATTACTAGTTTGGTGATGACAGAGTGGTACCATCGGTAAAACCCACTCGCGGATATGCGTTGTAACCACAAAACCACAGCAATTTGATGCTAATGTGAGGCGAACTTCTCTTACTTCTTTTTATTGCTCTAAATTGCTCGACTAATCTCGTAAAAATGAAAGGTGAAATATAATTCTTAGAAGTGTAAAGGCTTTTTAATAAAAAAAAAGCTACTTGTGTTGAAGAAGATTCACTGGTTCTACTGGTGCATTCCGCTGAAACCGGCAGTGATTATGTTAATGAAATAAATGATCGGTTAAGGCCGCAGACAAAGAAAGGTGATAAAGCAAAAATAAAAGGCATGAATTTGAATGAAGAGCACGCGTCGGCTCTTTTTTGGTTTTC